CCCCCCCCCCCCCCCCCCGCTACGTGGGTTTCAGATGAGCGAGGCATGCACCCAAGGTTTCAAGGCCTGCCTTCAAGGATCAACCCCCGCGCACGACCTTCTGCCGGCCATGTCATTGTTCTTCGCCTACGGGGCGGTGGTGGATCCGAAGAATCTGACAGCCCTCTCCGAAATCCTCAAGCTGGAGGAAATGAAGGACTGCTTCTTGGGAGGCTTGTCCTTCGTCGACAACCCCTTCATCCCTGGCCTGAGGTGCTTACTTGTTTTTTCATTTGTAGTTGTTGTTGTTGTTGTTATTGTTATTGTTGTTGTTGGCTTCGCACTTCCAAGCGTTCCGGTCTGTGCTCATTACCTTGTCACATCCGTCGTTACCGATCCCGCTGAGGTTGTGGCTGACACAAAGCAGTGCTAGGCTCTGCTCCCCAGATGCCCCACGAACCTCATTCTGAGTCGACACAAAATGAGTACTTGTTGAGCGCTCACATTTTGTACCATTTTTTCCCTGTTTTGCGCTTGCTGCACGAAGACCGCCGACCCCCCGAGAAGTTCGGCAGCTTCTCTCAACAAAATCCGATATGCTTTCGCACTCATTTACGGGATATATCGCTGCTAACACATGATGTTGCTGCACGAACGCCCCTGGACCCCCTCCCCGCCAAAAATGGCAGCTTGTCCGTCGCCCTGGAAGAATCCTTCAAGAACGCTCCCGAGAGAGAAAGACGGTTCCTAGAGGCTCTCCAGAAGGCCATGGACGCCCTCCTCCTTGCGGTGCTAGACCGGCTGCCGCAGACGATAGCCAGCTTCCCGGGGGGAGTCGGCGGCTGCGAATCCGTCCTCGAGCCGGAGGTGGCCGGGGTCGTGCGGGACAGAGACTTCCGGGGCCCTCTGAGGCTCGCACTGCAGGAGAGGCAGTTCTCGAAGACGCTGTGTATTGCGCCGCTCATGTTCGAGTACATGTGCTACAGGTACGTGGTGGGAGGTTTTTTCAGCACAGGCTCGGTTGTTCGTGTATCTTGTAGTTTTATCGAGTGTTTATATCATTTTTGCTGTGTTTTTTTAAGCGCAACAAGCTGGGTGGACATTTGTCGCCGCTGGTGTTTTTGGAGTATGTGTATCACAGGCATACGCTTTTCCCAAAACGGCCGGGTGTATGCATACCAACAACAGATGTTCAGGGACCTGGGTGCAGTTTGGGCAGTTTTGATTTGGGGGAGGTGAGAGGGGCATCTTTCCCGCGATGTATTGCTCGGTCACCAAACAGGAGAGTCTGACCACACCCGCCAGCGCGAGCGTGCGTGTGTATATGTGTGTGTTTCGACGTAACGGCCCGAACGTTCGAAGCCGAAGACACGGCAAGAAAGCCAAGGGTATGTCGGTCCCGATTTCTTAGGCGGACACCGGCGGGGTAAATGCCATACAACGGTAACTTTTTCGGCGGTGCAGCAGTGGGCGGTTTCGCGTTCTTCACCGGCAAAAACTTTGGCGGAGGCGGTAAAACCACAAAACGGCGGTTTTCCGGTACTGTAACGCTCACGGGGGCGGTAATATCACCGCGATAAAACTACCGACATGAGACCTTCATAAACACCAAACTGTCTCGCTCGCCCCGCGCCACTTGCAGGTTCGTAGCCGGCCTCCCAGACCTCCAAGACTCGACCGACTTGCTCGGGAGACGAGAGGAGAGGAGAACGAGGACGTCTTTGCAAAGCAGCGGCCCCGTTCGGGCGCCGGTGGCTAGTGCGGCAAGCGTCAGCAGCGTCTGCACCGATGGCGGTGGCGGTGGCGGTGGCGGTGGCGGTGGCGGTGGCGGTGGCGGCGCCCCACCCTCCTCCTCCCCCCCCTTGGGGACGCGCCGCGGACGCAAGGGGCGAGGCTTCCTGTACTCGGACGGCTTCGTCGCCGGCTCTGCGACCGAGAGGCTGCTGCAGGGGCTGGGCTGGACGGGGCGGAGGGCGGCGGAGGCGTTGACGCCGCCTCCGGAAAGGCGAGGAGGACTCCCAATAGACGTTACATTATGCCGCAGCGATGTACTTGTGTATACATACAAATGTTCTTACGAAAATAAAACTATAAATTGCATCTCTATCCACAGACAGGAGTCCAGGATAGGTGATGAAATTCACCGCGTTGTGTATGATAAGCCATTTACCGCGCGACAACCACGTTCGGCCAAGTACATAACCAATGGTCATGAAGGGAGTTCTCGCGTTTTTACATCGCCGTGCTCGCCCCGAAGTGCTTTCGGCGATTCCAGGCCGAGTGACTGGGAAACAGTTTTCAGCGGAACCTTCCTGCCCGGCGCGCAGTTTGTTCTGGTCGGGATCCTCACCAAGCCCTTGGCGTACTACAAGGTATCTCGGTCATTCCACGGTTTTTCCACGGTTATATCCCACGGTCATTAAACTGCGTCCTTGGGTAGGCTTCCTTCCGGGAGCCTGCGCCGGGGATATATTTCGTCACGGTACCGCCCGTGGAAGATTAGCACTGCAATCCATACTGTATAGATGCCATCGAATCGCGGACGATGCTTGCTGAAGACGATCTGGGTTCGCGGGTCATGGGGCAGCAATAGACTTTCCGTTGTCGTCATATTGGTTCATGTCGGTTACATGTGTCAAGTGTTAAATCCTGTAAATCCTTTGCTGCGTCATACCCCC